AACTGTGAGAATCAAAAAGGCAAAAAGATAGGAGAAACTAGTTAATTTTTTAAAATGTGCTTTTTCTGGCTCACGACAAAAGTGCAAAGCACAGTGGTGAGACACACCTAATAAGCAGGCAGTAGAACCTCCTGGTTCCCCCTACATCCCACTTCCTCCTGGCCAGGGTCTCTGCCTGGGCTTCCCTGTCTCCATCTTCCATCCAGCCCAGAGCTGCTGCATGAAGAGAGCAGCAGTTCCCCTGCTCATGCCCGCCCACGCCATCAGAGATTTTCTATTGCAACCTGAAATTGAGCGCCTCTTCTCTCCCCTGCTCATCTTTAATTTCTTTATCGATCTTCATTAAACTCTCCCTTTGGCTCCAGGAGGAAATGAACCAACTCCTTATTTCACACACAAAAAAGGGGAGGGGTAAAAATAGCAGAATGTTCTTATGAAAGTGAGACTGTAAGGCTAAAAGAGCAATTTCTGAAACTGTCTAGAGAGTTGGTTAAAGTTGGCTAAGGACTGGGCTTTGAACGTCTCCTACCCCTCTGGCCTTAGACCGGCATGTTTCTACTCTGCAGGTCCCCAGCTGCTCATCTGGACCATGTGACCAGTTCTGGTCCTTTAGTTCTGATCCTCTTCAGTCCCATTCTTTGAGCCAGCAACATCCGGCTCCCACTAGTCACTTTACTAGGAATTATTGAAACTCCACTAGGGCTATTGCAAAATCCTCAGCACCCAGTCTCTTTGTGGAACAATGCAGAGTCTCCATAGGCCACCCTGCGGAGACAAACAAACTACACACAGGCAGGATGTGCCCCACACACAGGTACCCACTAGAGACCCATAATATTGCTACCCTCTAACAAGGGAGGTGCCACTTCATTGCATGGAGGACAAAACCAAAGACCTGCCCATCTCAACAGTTTGGTGTGTCTGCTCTCACGGAGCTGTGTGACTTTTGAGGCCCTCATCCCATTCTGGGCTCTGGTTCATCTTGCTCCAATCATCTCCCACATGCGGTCTTGACAGCACAACCATCTCTTTGGGCTCTCCTGAGTCACTGAGCATGGAGCTCTTTGGAGACACAAAGTCCCACAGGTCAATGGCCAGCCACAGGGTCCTTTGTATCTCTAAGACTGCTGCCCCCTGTCTACCTTTAAACTCCTCTGTACACTCACTGTGACCAGGTCTCCACTGGCTTATTGGTTCTCTTTCACCAGGAATTCTGAAAGGAGGGAACCTCCTCTGAGGTCACAGGCCAGTCTTCCCCTCTACCTGTATTGCTATGGTCTCCATGCCTTGCCTTTGGAATAAGCTGCTTACCTTCTCCCCTGAGCCCAGCACAGGACCAGTGAATGAGAGATGACTGTCTGCCAAGGATAAAGGAAAATCATGGGTGACTTCTAGAAGTGAACTAGCTGATCCTGTATATCAAAACAGTGTAGAGCCTTGACTGAACTAAACTAGACCTCTGCACGGAAGACCCCTTGGACATTGCCAGAGAGACCTGTGGGTGCTGATAGTTTATCTCTTCTGGCTCTGCCCCTTCCCTGACCAACACATTGTGCCCAAATCCAAGGGAGCCATTCCTCCATGGTCCCCATCTCAGAAGGGCAATATCTTTTCAGGGTGGTAGAGAGAAAGAAGATGGGGTTTGGAGAAAGCCAGAGATGTACAGTGTCCATGCTCCACATGTCCACCATCATCTCTGAGCCTCAGTTTCCCCATCTATGAAGTGGAAAGGGGAAGACGGATGGTCCAATCCCACCCAGATGATCCCTCACCTCTTCTCTTAGGATAGCCCTCTCGCTCAGGTTAGACCACTCCCTCCCACAGACAGTAACCTCCCAGAGCCCAGTCTCTCCCAAAGACCTTGCCATTGACACTGCCCTGATTGCATCGTGATGCCAGTGACTCAGTCCCACTGTGAACTCAGTGCTGTATGTACAACAGTCCCATGAGATTTCAGTGTACCCATTCATCAGAAAAGTGTGGTCCGAGAGGCTCAGGGGGTTACCTGGAGTAACCTGTGAGTCCTCAAAGCTCACAGTGTGGAGAGTCAAGGACAACCTGCTTCTCAAAGTCCACAGGGCTCTGCTGTCCTACAGAGATGGCTTCCAAACAGACACAGATGAAAGAATGAGTCTGTAGAGTGACTGATGAACAGCAGGAGGGGACAAGTGAGTGGGTTTAGAAGTGGGTGACTGGCATCCAGAAGGAAGGAGCAGCCGTAAGTGACTTGAAGTGAGTGACTGAATGACCAGGTATTTATCAGTGCCTTAGCAATCTGACTTAGAGGAGAAGAATGCCCACCACATCTTTTCCTTTTGGGGTAGGGCTAGGTGATCTGTGTTAAGTCATAGGGACCTTTTTAGTATTCTTAGAGTATTCATGAAGCAAACAAGGTAGGATGCTGAGTGGTTTGGAATCAAAACTTAACTCCTGCCTGTGCCACTTGCTGATGATATGTTTGTTTGTTTGTTTGTTTGTTTGTTTGTTTTGAGACCAGGTTTCTCTGTGTAGCTCTCACTGTATTGGAATTTGCTCTGTAGATTAGACTGGCCTCAAACTCAGAAATTCCCTTGCCTCTGCCTGCCAAGTGCTGGGATTAAAGGTGTGTGTCACCACCCCTCAGCTTAATTATGTGATTTTTGACAAGTCCCCATAACTTCCTGAGATTCTGGCTCCTTGTCTTTAAGCTGGGGATGTTTATAGTGCAGGCTCATAAGTCACTGGTGATACTGAAGGCATATGTGCACTGGAGTAGTCAGGATGCAGCATATATTCTCATTGATGAACATCCCTTCTCCTCATCTTCAGAGAGCAAATATGATATTCAGCCAACACAGCCCTGGAAATGGCGAGTTGAAGTATCCTAGCTTTTGTGAACAGCATCAGATGGCACAATGAGCTACCTCTAATCACTACAGCTGCAGTTTTCAGCTCCAAGTATGAGACTGCTGCTGTGTTTCTTCCTTGGTTTCTTCCTACTGCCCCTAAAGCTCCCCAAAGCCAAGCAACTGAATGTTTGGGAAGTCTGGTCATATCAGCCCCCCCCCTCCACTTTATCCTCTATGCTTCCTACCAAGCCATAATGAATGAGAAACAAACCTCATTTGGCCATGTGGTCAATATCCAGGAAAGATTTATAAGAGCTGATATGCTGGTGGATTATGCAGTGCATAAGCTTAACATACTTAACCCATTTCCTTCATTGAGTTTGTCTGTCTCGTCACCATGCAAGCAAGTGCACACACATACACACTATGCTGACATATTCAGACAGTGCACTAGGAAGGAGAGAAATGATATCCAGTTTAGTCTTGGAAGATCTAGGATTTGATCTGACCTCTTCCACAACCTTAGCTGTAAGTCCTTACTCAAGTAGCTTCCCTCCTCCAAGCCCATGGCATGGACACCCATTAACCTCAACACACTACTGCAAATCCAGGGCTCTCAGCATAGCACTAGGGACAAAATTTCTAGCCAAGTGGAAAAAAAGCATTCTGCTCTGAGGGCAAGCACTAACTTGTCTGCTGTGTGGCCTCACACAAATGACTTCCCCATTAGGAGGTGTAAAAGAAGCAGTCCCACTATTTATCCTCCACCAAGAGCACTTCGTACTCCTCTGCCTAGTCATAGGAATGGATTTGGACAGAGGCAGCGCAGGGTGGGGAGGCAAGTAACTGATTGCCTTAGAGTCTAGACCTAAGCAAAAGAAACTGGAGAAAGGCTGGGACACCTGAGTGGGTGGACTCGGGTTATGAGACATAAGTGAGAAGGAAGGAGAGCTGTTCTCCCTCCAGACAGACTCTCCGGGTAGATAAATCCGACAGTCACCACAGCTGTCCTGAGACACACTGGGCTTTAAGCAACAAGAATGTTCATCACACTTCCTTCAAATTAGATTAGGAAAACCCCAAATATCAGTCCAGCCTCCCCAGCCCTCCAGGCTAGTATTCCTAGGACCCTCTATAGGCCCAGACCTATGACCTGGGCAGGGGTTAAGAGTATCCGAGGTTATATGTATTGTCCAAGGTTAGGTTGACACAGAAGCACCTAGGGTTTCCAAAGCACGAAATTCTTTATTTGACCCCACACTTACCTGTGATACACTGGTAAAGGAAGTCATTGAACTTTTTCCAAGATCCCTACCCAAGCTGTCTAGTTCTTCATGGAGTGGAGCCCTCCCTACTTACCTAGGCCCTGGGATGGTTAATCTTGATTGTCAACTTGATTGCCTAGGGTGACATCTAGGAAGTTAGTAAAGTTACCTCTTGGTGTTCCTGTAAGGGAGTTTCCAGACATGATTGGTGTGTGGAACTGGTAGGGAAGACAGGAATGTGGGCAGTGCCATCCCATGGGACAAGGCCCACAGGGAATGAAAGTAAAAGCCAAAAATCCATCTCTGCCTTCTCTCTTTATGGTGGCTACCATAACACAATACAAAATAAAGTATCCACTCTTACCCTTCTCCTCTACCTCTACCTCAGACCCAATGTAATGGATCCCATCAAGCTTGGATTGCAACTAAGAACCAAATTAAACCTTGTTTCCTTTGAGTTCATCGTTTCAGGTATTTTGTCACAAGGATGGAAAACTGACTGGCACGATACCCAGTGGTGTCTTGCTCTTGCCACTTTCATCAATCAATGTTCTCGATCCACTTCCTCTGACTTTCTGCCATGAAAGGACCACCCATCCCAAACTTTCAAACCACCCTCTACCAGCTTCCTACCAGGAACTTGTCTCACACACTAGGCTCTCTTGGTCTGCCACCCTAGCCTGAAAATGCTTAGTGTCCCTTTAGATCTATCATTCCTGGTTAGATCCCAGGGTACCTTTTCCCTTCGTTTGATCAAACCCACAGTCAATGTCCCTAACAGTGCCATCTGAAAAGGACCTGGCAGAAGAAGGGTGAACTTGCTACATGAAGAGGACCAATTGCCACCACCAGGCTCCCAATGCCAGCTGACTCAGAGACACCAGCCCACTGAGACCATTGCCTTTACCTTCTCCAGCTGATGGACACCCTCTTCTACACAGCAGATAGAGGCGAGTGTGCGCAGCGCCTGGGGGTACATGCACCGGAAGCTGTCCTGCCGGCAAACCTTGAAGAGGGCTACAACCCCACCTTCCTGTGGAGAAGAGAATATCACATGACCTTACCTTGTGATCTTCCCTGGAGTCACTCAATAAATAGCTGACTGCTCTCACTAAGCAGACATATTTTGGGATGCACCTCACACACACTTAGACGATGAAGTCCTGACCCCCAATAGCCCCAGTGGCAAGTAGGATTCCCCAGATGCTTCTGGGTTTGGGGACCAGCGACATACATTTTGGTGGGGTTGAAGATCCAGACCTTTCTGCTCAGCCCCCAGAAGAGCAGGCCTAACATCACCAGAATGGATCCTGTAGACTGGTGAAAGTAGACAAAGAGACAGAGTCTAGAATTCAGTGCCCATTCCCACTCCATCAGCCGCCATACTTCCCCTTGCTTTCCCGTGCCATGGAAGGCAGGCAGAAAAGGATGTTTATATCAGTCTGTTATTCATTCTCACTGTATGATGGGGAACTAAAACTACTAAAGGTGAGATGGGGAAGGCAATTCCTCCTAAATCCATGTCACCCTTACTTGGATTTGTAGAGGGAGACAACCACTTTCAGGACACTCATGCAGCTCTTGAGTGCAAGTCCTTTGTCTTTGGTAGGAACTGCTAATGGGGCCTTTTTTCTCTCATCTTGTGGAGACTGCCCAGTAGAGTGTGCCCCCCAGTGGAATCTGAGCATAAGAAGCATTCTGTAATCATCACTGCAGTCCTCCCGTGTTCAGAGTGAAAACACTCACAGACCGCACAGGAGACATGCCACAGAATTCACAAACCACAGCAACACTACCTAGTGAATTCAGAGCAAAAGTTGGTATCCCCATCTGGCTTTGCCTCATCCCCCTCTATTCCCTTTTCCAAGGGCTGGAATATACTTAGAGGTGGCATTGAGTGAGCAAGGGATTTATGGGGTGTAATTCCTCAGGACAATCACTTTTAACCTTATCCATCACTCCCAAGTCTAACTGTCCTGGCACCTGTTCCCATAATCAAACAAAATGTTATAGGAAGGTGAGTTCAGCAAAATACTATCCCCTGTCAGATTTTTGATAACACACCATAAGTATTTTAGGAAGTTGCCATGTACCAAGCTGAGTGTATTAATATTTAGTCACTTAAGTTGTATGAATATCATTTAATTAAATTTATCAATTGGTAATTCATATATAAATATTTACATTGGGAGCAGACAATGAAGAAATGGTGCCAAAGACTCTAAGGTGGGGAGCTCACAGACCCAGGGATGAACCTACGACTGTTCTACCAAACGGTAACAGTCTCTCAAACTGCCTTTTAAGTGTCTATCTTTCTACCCATAGACCAGTGCAGCTCTTGGTTTTCAACAGACAAGTTTCTACGTGCAATGGACAGCACTTAAAACAGAAACTAACAGCATGTCAAAGTGCAAAGACTAAGTTTCTGAGGAATGCTCAGTCTGAAATGGGATATAACATACTCCTTCTTCACAGATCAGAGACCACAGCACTCATAACTGACACCAGCTATGGTTGTTTGCACAAGACCTTGCAAGATCAAGTTAGTTGAGCTCCCACCCCTAACTGAGGAGCTAGGGCCCTGGATCGCTTCTGGGGGAGAGTGGTTTTTTTTTTCAAGGGTGTAGCCCCTGATAGGTAGACCACACTCCAGTAGGTGGTTCCATACTCAGGAGTATATGGGAGCATAAACTAGTTGTTTATAAAAATTAAAGAACACAAAGTTGAAAGGGGGTTGGAGAAGTCTTGGAAGAGTTGGGGGCTGGGGATGAATGTGATCAAAATAATTATGTTTCATGTATTAAATTCTCAAAGAATTAGCAGAATTATTGGGGTTGGGGTGTTTTGTTTTTGTTGTTATTGTTGTTGTTTCCTTAAGGAACCCAAGACCAAAGCCAGGAAGGCTGTGGCAGCCTCCTTTGGTTCGGAAGGCATTGAGACCTGCAAATCTGAGTTCTGCATTTGCATCAGGAAAGACTCATTATGTCTTTCCCTAAACCTGTGAAAAATACCCTCCTTAGCATTTTCAATTATAAAAAGAAGAAAGTCCTAGACTCCTGCTAAGGGGATTTGGCTCTCAATCCTGGCTCCATGTCTGCTTAGTTTGGGCTAAAATGCTGTGTAACTACTTAATAGGAACAGCAGCTGAGCTGGGGAAGGACCTGATGCTGGCTCTCTGGACACTGGTATGAGAGTCAGGTTATGGAAGGCTTCCTCTTCAGAAGCTGGCCTTGTCCCCTCGTGAAAGGTATGTCAAGGCCCAGGGCCTGTGAAAAGGAGAATCAGGAAAGAGAGCTACCAGGGAGTTTAGACAGATTATCTCACTGACAACCCTAGAGCCCCCACCAGGACTTTCAGCAGCACTTATCCTGGGGTAACACTGGGATTGACTGAGCTAGCAGATCACGCTGTTGGCTGGGGCTTGTTTAATTTTATAGAAAGCTCTGGGCTCTCAGCCCAGATGCATAACAGTATGAATTATTCAGACATCTTGGGATGAGCTGTCATAATGCTGGCAGGGGCCACTCCTGGGTGTGTAGGCTGGTGATGGAAGGAATCACAGAGGAACTGGGGTGACTGTGACACAGCATAGTGTGCTCTGCTTGGGGAGGGGAGAGGGTTGCCACCATCATCATGACAGGACTGGGATCATTCATGGATGTCTGGATTCATATATACTCAGAGGACAGACCTCAAACAGACTGCCTAGGTCTCAACTAGGAGCGGCTGGGACAGATGAATAATGACCCTGAGATGACAGTGGACTTCCTCATGTCATGAGGAAGACTACTGGGGAAACTCTAACATTGATCCCAGTATTGAGGTCTTTACTGAGTGTCTGAGGTAGGATGTTGTCAGTACTCGACTCCCACATGGTGCTTCTGCTACTGGAACCCGTTTTGCCATTTTCTAGATTGAAAAGATAGAAGACATCACTTCATCCTCTCCCTTTTTCTACCCAGGACCAAACACAATTAGATTGAAGTGAAGTCTGGCGTCAGAAGACCTGGTTAAAATTCGAGCTCTACATGAATGAGTGTAACTTAAGACAAGCCCTGACCCTCTGAGAACCTGTTTCCTCCCTTTAAAAAATGTGCATCATAGGGAGATGGGTCAGTGGGTAAAGCAGTTGGTGCACAACTGTGAGGACCAGTGTTCAGATCCCAAGCACCCAGGTAAATGCCAGGTAGGCTTGATAACCCTCCTATGACAGCACACAGGAAGTAGAGACAAGGAAGTCCCAGAACAAGCAGATTAACCAAGTCAGTGAGTTCTGAATTGAGAGACTTGCCTCTAGGCACAAGGTGGAGGGCAATCAAGGAAGACAGTCACCTTCAACCTCAGGCTTTAAAATTCATATACCTACTTGTGTAGCTGCACACACATGTGGGCCTACACACATGAAAACATGCATACACATCCCATAATACACTTACACACACAAAGAAAGCAATTGTAACTTTAGCACACCTGAGTATGGCTGGTCCATCAACTGCAATACCAAATGGAAAGTACGATATAGTGCTTTGGTCACTAACGAAAGATATGGAGGCATATGGAGTAGGACAGTGGGGACAAGAAAATGTAAAGGAAGGAAGGAAAGTAAAAGGGAGAAGAGAGGAAACACTGCTGGGAAACAGTTGAGAACAGTCAAGGGCATGTCACCTTTAATGAACAGCCTAGTTAAATTCTATTGGTTCCCATGTCTCTCAGCTCCCCTCCTATGCAGTTGGAGTAGACTCTGCCTTCTGCACAGGGCTTTGAGAATGTTTAACAAGCACTCAGAACATTATCAGGCATGTAGTGAGTACAGTAGGAATGCTATGGTGTTTTGTTTTTAATACTGATGCTACTCTATCTATCTATAATCTATCTATCCATCTATCATTGTCATCATCACAGTGACCATTTTCAGCTTTAGGAAACAGGCTGTGTCTCTCCAGTTCCCACCAATGCCTTGCAGTCCTGACTTTCACCAACTTCACACACAGGGAAAGTTAATCATTCATTGTGTAATGCACCAGAAGCCAAGAAAGAAGAAATAGTGATTGAGATAGAGGTGGAGTTGTTGGAGCAGGGATTCGGCCCTGTCAGGGAGGGCCTCTAAGTTTTAAACAATTACCCTGCTGGAATTCAGAGAACATGGACTCCAGAGATAGGAAAAGCTAGTTTCAAGCAAGCACTGAGCAAGGTACTGTTAAGTCCTGGAGTTCTTATGTGTGCTGAGCACTGACGCTCATCTCAGAGGATGTTTGTGGACCAAACACCACAATGTCAAAAATACCAGTCCAGGGCCTGGAGCATGAGGAACAACAAGAACACAGTATTTTTTTATTGTTTTTGTCATTAATATTCAACAAGGCACATGGCTTCACTTAGGGAGACTATTATGGGGTATTGCTCAAAGTGTCATGACAAATATGTAAAACTTCTAGTCAGGACTGTGAAGAGTCCAGGCTACACTGGGAGCCTGGAGTTGTGTGGGTAGCAGGGGAGAGAGTGAGAGGGAAGGAAATGGAGGAAGCAGTGACCAAATGAGGAAAACAGTGGGCCACGGCTGTTCAGACTGAAGCTTGACAAAATGAGAACTGCAGACTCACCTTCCCATCAGGAAGGCCAGACACTGTGGTAGATTATGGAAGCTTCTTAGAATCCCATAATTCACAGAGGTCGGGTTGATGGCACCAGACCTGACTAGCCTCCTGCCATGAGCAACAGCAGGGCTGGTATGACAATTGCCTGTGGTCCTTGCCCAGGCCTTTCTCCCTGCTCCCTCTCTCCCAAACCTTTCTCCCTGCTCCCTTTCTCCCAAACCTTTCTCCCTGCTCTCTCCCTTCCCACCGGACACATTTGGAATCAACATTAACCCAGGGTGAGTCCCAGACTTCTGTGGAGACTAACTAGCAGGAAGTTAAGTACTACCCTTGGCTTAGATTCAAACTCATGTATACTCACTGTTTTCATGAAAGAGGAACACGGGGGCAGGCAGTAGTAGGTGTTGTCTATACCAGTAGCACACAGAAAGGGGGTTTTGAGAACCAGCCAAGATTTGCTACTTATTTTTTAAGAGAAAAAAATTTCTTTGTTCCAAAAGAAATTCAGCTAAATCTGTGGGAATTTAATCTCCAAACTGGAGTTGAGAAGTTGAAGAATGTCTTTGCTCTGCACAGTATCATGTGACCTCTGCAGGTCAAGATTTTCCACACAGTTGAATGATGGAGTCACAGCATCCTCGAGAGAGACAGCCCCAATACCCTCCTTATTTCCTTTTTCCCAATATGCATTCAAGTACAGTTTCAGCTATTGCCTCTGAAAGAGAGTAGTAGTCTGCAAGGAATTAGAAATCACCTGGAAAACAAACCCATCCACCATCGCAGACCAATTAAAACAAAATTAGAACTTGTTTAAAACTCTGCAGTGATTTTGTGTCACACTTAGGCCTAAGGCTTGAACCAGGAATGACCACCATAGGCTTTGGGCCATGAACTTGAAACTAGAGCTCTTGCTTCTAAATCTGAACTGGCCATTTATTAGCTATTGGGGTTTTCAGAAGAAATAAGAAGATGTCTGTAAACATGAACTTCATCTTGTCAGACATGTGTGTTCTTAAGGAATCTGTCTTACTTTGGATAAGTTCTTCAAGGCATAAACTCTATTATAGATGGAAACAACCCAGTCCCCACTACATGGGCTGTTTTCATGTTTTAAACAAACAAGTTATGCAAGACATGAACAAGTGGCATAATGTCAGCTATTGCCATTAAACACAATTCATTTGTTCCCCCATTAAACACAATTCATTTGTTCCCCGGACAGAGTTGACAGACCTTTACCCCAGTTTCATTTCTTCAAGGGCTTTGATCAGTGACTCTGAGGTTTATCGCCATCCAAGGAATATGCTGAAATGAAGAGTCCCCAGAATTGCAGTAACTTCTTGGTGGGGCCAAAGTCAAAGTATTTGGTGTTTTCAAACTCTCTGAAGGGTTGTGACACAGATGGGATTGGGGACCACACACCTGGATCCTCCCCCTGCGACTGACACCTGAATCTATGGAAGGCAGAACTGAGCTCCATGTAGATTACTAGCTCTGTAGTGACTTCTCTGATGAAAAAGGAAGAAAGCAACGAGCCTCACTTTGGTCCTAGGGCCACCATCAAGATGAGTCAACCAGGAAGTTAGTGATTTACACAGTGGTCTGTTTTTATTTCCTCCTTCTCCAATAAGTGCAGGAATGGTTATGGACATTTGAAGATCCAACCAAGAAGCTTAGAGGGACTATTCAGACATATCCCTGAAGGACACATGTGTCTATCATGATGAAGTTCATGTTTACACACACATTCATCTTATTTCTTCTGACAACACTGCTGCTAATTAGAAGTTATCATGGAAGCTATTAAGGGATGTGAATTAAAGGTAAAGCTATATTTTAAAACTTTTCTTTGAACTGGGTTTAAGACACTACATTTCTTACTTCCTTGATGAAAAGACATCAGAGAAAATCAATGTTTATGGATTTGTTTATGGCATTGTTGCTATACGCCAGATGGTCTTTGTACCATTACGCCAGGAACATCACATTGTCAAGAAGAGATATGTGGAATAGGAAAGAAGAGTTGACATTTATGACATGTGCTGGTTATAGAGACAGCAGAAGTTCTGTGGGTGTATCTGCAATGCTTAATCTTGACTGTCAACTTGGTTGAGTCTGGAATTGACTAAGAAACATAGCTGTGAGGGATCTTCTTGACTAGGCTAATTGAAGTGAGAAGACTCACCTTAAATGTGGGTAGTATCCACCAGCAGTGTTCTGAATATCAGGAAATCAGAGGGGAAAACTTGCATTTATATCTTGCTGGCAAGTTCATCTACACTGTTTACAAGTTCATTCACTCTGTTTGCAAGCTCATCTTCTTTATAGTTGCTGTTGCTTCCATCAAATCCTCTATTGGCATCGGAAACCAGCATTTTTGACCTTCCAACTCTCCAGGAATCCCCCAGGCCTGAGCAGCTATAGATTCTCAATCTCTCCAGTGTGAAGACAGCCATTGTATAATCAGACTGCATGGTGTAAGACACTCTAAGAAGTCCCACTTTAGACATATGCTTTCCATAAGTTATGTTCCTTTAGGGAACCCTAACTACTATATCTCTTTGTGTCAAGTGGGAAATAAAATCATGGGGTCCAGGCAACATCAAGAAAAGTGACTCTTCCAAAGTCACACAGAAAATTAATGCTGACAAATCTGAGCCAGCCATTCCCACCTATCAAAAGCAAATCTACCTCCTACTTTCCCCAGACCTGCTCTCTGGTCCCCAACCATGAAATTCACCTTGGCTATGATGCGGCACAAAGGAGCCCCCTCCTGGGTCAGGCTGAACAGGTTCCCTGTGGTAGACTCCATGATGTAGATATTATCTGAGGTATCGATTTTTCTCACAAGTGCCTAGGAAGAGAGAAAAAAGCCAGTTGGTTAGCTTCCACCTGCCCTCTGGTCCTCTTCCTCAATGGGATGCCACTGGGTCCAGGCTTCTAATAGCTTCTGTGGAATCTGAAGCCCTGTCCCATCTACTTTTGAAAGCAGTAAGACACTAACTGTGGGTGAGCTCTGAGCTCCATGGAAAAGATACAGAGATGGGGAATCATTTCAAACCAAAGGTGGTTGGAGATCCAATGAGCTGTCCTAGTTCACTGAAACCCTCAGCAAATAGCACTTGGTTGTGCTATAAGTTCACAATGAGAACAGAAACCACAGATGAAATAAGCAAGCATCAGTTGTGACAGGAAAGGAGTGCCCATAGCTGCAGCCAAAGAATTCCCTCATTTTGCATGGCTGTTAGACAAGGATGAACCCCAGCTCTGATGGGTTCAAGGGCTGAGACAAGTACTTCCCCCATAGCATCATACTGCCTGGGGATATTTACTTTGGGAATATAACCATGATGAAGAGTGACACCAGAATTCTACTGACAGGTAGGTAACTCCATGAGTAATGAATGCTATACTGATCAAAGATGAAACACTCCAGTGTGTGTGGAGAGGGTTACATATAGGACCAAAATATTAAGGAAGAGCCAAGAAAGCCATTAACAAATAAGATATGAAGATTGTTCCTAGAAGAGTTTAGCTAATTTCTGGGGGAGGAAAGCCTTACAAATTGAAATCACTTAATAGTCAGACATTAGCTTTGGCACATGTGACTCATTATTGATTATCAGCTATTCTTACCTACTAATGAGTGCAGTTGTTCAGATTTCCCCTGGGAATTCTGGATATGGAAACCTGCCTTCCTAGGCCTCCTATGAGAAGACAAAAATCTGCAAAATATAGGTGCAAATCTCAGGTATCCTTTTAGGGGGTTCTCTGTGTGTACCTATGTATGTGTGTGCATGCATGTGTGTGAGCATGCATGTATGCCTATGTGCACTATGTGTGCTTGCATGTGTGTGTATACATGATGTGTGCATGTATGTATTATGCATGAATGTGCACATGTGTATATGCATGTGTATGTTTGTGTCTCCTCATTTAATATTTTGATACAAGGTCTCTGACTGAACCCAGAGATCGACAATTTAGCAGTGAGCTCAAAGGGTCTTTCTGTCTTCCTCTCAAGTTCTAGAATGACACACACACACACTACTGCACCAGCTTCTTTAACAAGAGTGGATCCAGAAGATTGAATTTAGGTCTTTGTTCTTGTACAGCAATTACTTTACTGGTTGAACCATCTCCCAAGTCCTTTTTTGTTTTGTCTTGCAATAGAGTCTCATGCAATCCAAGCCACCCTTGAATCTATAATTCAACCCTCCTGCCTCTGCCTCTGGGTGCTGAGATTATAGGCATGCATCGAAACGCCTGCATTGTTTATTTTTAAATACCAAAAGGCTTTGTTTTTAAATATGCCTGGTGTTGTAGAAAGGACTCTCAAAGGAAGGGAGGGATCCAGGCTCCAGTATTAGCTTGACTTTAGCTCTCTATTCTAATCAAGAATGCATTTGGCTAAGAGCAGATTCGGAAACTAAAATGCCTGAGTTCCAATCCTGGCTCTGCCACTCTGGCACTGTGCCCTAGAGAGGATAATTTACTATAGCCCTTCTTTGCCTCAGTTTCCCTGTCTGTACAATTATGGAATAAATGGCATCAGTCTCTCACACTAAGAATGCTCTTGTCCTGAACTTGCCAACATGAACAGAGAACTTCTGAAAGTGCCTACCATAGTGAAGTAAAACATTGTTAGAAGTCATCATTTTGTGGTCTTGAACAAATGAAACAAACATTTTAGAACTTGCTTTCACCACTTATAAATTGATTAAACTGAAGAGATATGGGTGTCTTTCTTTTGTTTCTTCTTTATTCAGAATCTCAGTGTAGCACGCATTCTAACTGTTCTTAATAATAAAAACTCTGAGTCAGATATTGGGGTTAATGCTGAAGATCAGAGGAGCAAATTGTCCAGCCACTAGAGAGTTCTCACCTCTACCAATGCTCAGACCAAAAGGACGATCCTGTCCTCAGACTGCTTAGACTGCACTGCTCCTTGGACTGCACTGTTACTCAGACTGCATCTCTCTTGTCTCCTCCCGTCTTGTATTCCTCTCTCAGTCCAGCCATATCACTCCTGTCTCCACCTCTTTAGTGCTAGAATTGAAGGCATGCCACTCCAGGTGCTGGGATCACTTATGTGTGATCTCTGTTTCTCTTTTAGACAAGATTAATTTCATGTAGCCCAGGGTGGCCTTGAACTAACACAGATCCATCTGCCTTGCTTTCTTGAGTGCTGAGACTAAAGGTGTATACCACCACTGTCTGGTCTCTGTGACTAAGTAGTGTGGCTGCTAGGATTGAAGGTGTGTGCCACAACTCCCTGGCCTCTATGACTAACTAGTGTGGCTAACTTTGCATTCTGATCTTCAGGCAAGCTTTTATTTGCCAGATCATAAACAAAATATCACCACATCACAGAATTCTTCACACACAATATTAATCCTCTACATGGAATAGCCTTAGATTAAGTGTGTATTTAAGCAAACTACACTAAAAATAAAAAGTATTTTATTCTCTGGGATTTGGTAGGTACCTCATATAAGAGATTCAACAAAAGATAGCATTTGTCAGCACATATCTCTATAATGAACTTGCATGTTCAGTTCCTTCCCCACTGTTGCCATGAGCAGCTACACATGCGATACACACTCAAATGGAAATGCAGATTTCATATATTGGGGTCCTGTACCTAAATGATAATTACCTAATGTTCCTGATGAGTGTTTGTACTTGAAGCAAATTAGCATTAAATTAAACAATTCGAGCCCAGTGTCTTCTGCAATCAACTGCTAATATTAGACCATTTATGTCTGAGGATAATTTCATGTTAATGTCTATACACATATATACAGTAATTACAACCCAGACATATCTCAGGGACAAAGAAAAGTTGTAAGCATACTTTAACACAGCATAAATTTGGAAAAACAGATCAAAGTCTCCTGCTGACTCCACAAAGCTCTGGACATTAAGTGCCAGCCTTTAATTCAGCACTCATTTCACATCTGAGGAACCTGAAGTATACACCACTGACCAAAGTCAAACCCAGGTCCACAGGAGCTGGACTTCATCCCCAGGGTGATAGTTAATCCTTGTGAGACCAGATCTCACATCACAGTGGAAAAACACCTCTGGGTACATCTGAGTGTTTCTAGAAAAGTTTAACTGAGGAGAGAAGAGGGGCACCTTCCCATGAGCTAGGGGCCCAGAATGAATAAAACTAAGCAAGTGAGCTGTGTATCAGCATTCATCTCTGCTTCCTGATTGAGGACACGCTGTGGCAGCCATCTCATGTTCCTGCTGCTGTGCCTTCCCTGCCATGATGGGCTGCATCCCTCTTTCCACAGTAAACCAAAATAAATACTACCTTTTAAAAGTTGCTGTTGTCAAGTGTAATAACCACAAACAAATGTAACAATACTCCCTATTTCTACTTTGAAGGTTAACAGTCCCATTACTAATACATGACATCACTTAGACTGGAAAGGCCAGACGCCAATACTCACTGTATCCTGGCCTCTTTCAGCAACTAAAAGTCCATGAAGTCACCAGGGCTCCCACAACAAGAGGAGCTAAGCCACAGTCTTTTGCTAATACCAGAGTCTTCCATTATGCTCTTGACAAAAACCACAGTTCCCCTGAACTACTTCCAGGTGAGATTAACTCAGCATGCCTATAGTATGGAGATCTCTCCCAACTGATGGCCTTGTGTTCATTCCCTAAGCCTCTCCTCCTATTCAATTATTTCTTCATCAGACTTGAAACAGCTTTCTTCACCACAGTCAGCTCCCTTCCTGCATCCCCAGGAACATCCTATCTATCTTAGCAACTGATACACATTTCTAAAAGTTAATTTTGGGGGGAGTTTGTTTGGTGTGACTTTTGTTGTATAGGAAATCAAGGAGGCATTCCAAAAAGATACTTCACTCTAGATCACAGTAAGAGTCAAAAATTGGAGACAAAATAAAGCAAGATAGGCTTAGTATGGTGAGTGACAAATACTTTCTTAAAAGACAGACCACATAAGCATGAAACAACAAAAACAATAACAATGTCTTCAAGACCAGGAGAAGAGGGCCTGGAGGAGCCAGGATTTGTGAAGTCTACCAGCTCTAAACAAGGCGTTAGAAAGTGAAATGTCTTCCAATTTTGTCTCAGTCAGAAATAGCCAGTGAACACCAGTGAAATCTATCAGAAGGGAAAGAAACCAAGCTGACTAGAATACATTTCTCAAAAGAGTCAAGGAAAATATTGTGAGACTTTTCCTGAAGCTCTACATGGAAAGTGTGTAGTTGGACAATGTGAGTCAAGGAGTTTCACAAGACCCAGGCATATTTGACAGGGAATCGTGGAGGGAGGGAGAGGGAACTGGGGTTGACATGTAGAACAAGATATTTAAAATTAAAATAAAAAATGATTAAAAAAAGATAGCTACAGACTCCAATATATTCCTCCCAAAGAAAGTTTCATTCTAATCACCCCTTCTTTGAATTTTGATGCTTTACTTGACCAATAGAAGACAGTGCCTGACAGGAGTGATGTTCCAAGACTCCCAAGATGAGGTCATAAGAAGCTTTGAGCAGTCTACCCAGGCTTCTTTGGATACTTCTTTGGGAGCCCTAGAGTGGTATGTAAGACATCTGAAAACCCTGGAAAAGTATCTTGAAGAATTCCTATCTGCACTCTCCACTGAGAACAGATTTATGACATACATACACATGACAAAAGCTGACTGGGGGTCACAAACAATCTAAGAGCCGATAGCATCCCCTTAAGAGATAGGAAACAATAGTCACTCAGCTAAGCCACACCCAAATCACTTACACTTCTGATCATGAAATATAATGAAAACTACCATTGGGGTTTGTTTATAGTTTTTAACAAGATTATAAAGTCACA